GGAGCATTACTATACCCAAACCCACACCTACATAAAACATTAAAATTAAGGAGTCAAGAATTACTGAAAAATTGGCAGTGGTTAATATGACAAACTTATATCTCATGAATTTGAAAGATTTTCCATCACCAAAACATATATTTGGACAGCTTAATTTACCATATTGCCTAAAAAAGAAAGCTAAGTTACACAAGATTGTCCTCAAGGAAGCTTAATAGACCAGTCCCTAAGTTATCAACATCCTAGTTTTTTAACTGTCACCAAAACTCTAGAATAGATAAAGATAGATAGAATGAAAAAATATTATTATGAATCAAATAAGTATTTGTAGCCAAATACTTTTATGTTATCCATTCTTCTTCATTCTTGCTCAAAATTGAATAGGAAGGTCCATTTGGTTCGCAGATGGAATTGGAATCAAAATTGGAATGGTCTATGCCCCCCCCACCCCCCCCACCCGTTTGGTACATAAGGGAATTGGAATTGATTGGAATGGGATTCTCATTCCCAAAGGAAGGGGTGGCGAATGACCATTCCCTCGAAAATGTCTTTCCACCAGAATGAAAATGAGATTCCAATTTCACCCAATCAAACCGATGGTTTCAATTCTGATTTCAAACCCCTATTCCGATCCAGATGCATCACATTCTACTTCGAACGTATATCCCATTTTGTCAACAGACAACATTAATCAAGGTTATGCTGGGTTAGTCATTAGCTTATTTCCCCTCAAAATATTTTGTTTTCTTCTCATGGGAATGAGAAGAATAAGTTGTGACAAAATAAAAATGATTATTAGTAAGTTTTTATTTTTCATTCTTTTGTTAATTTGGGTAAATTACAAATTGCCACTTTGTTGTTTGGATATTGACACTTAATCTCTCTAACTTTCGTTTGCGACAAAGACCCACCCTGATCTAGCACTTAGCTTCAGAAAAGATTCTTATGTCAGGCTCATGTGCACATTAAACATTTCTAAAACCCAAACTTCTTCCCTTAAAATGATTTTATCCATTAAATAAAAATTGATAAAATACAACAAAAAAGAAAGAAAATAAGGACAAAATAAAATTCAGTAAATACAACAAAAATGAAGAAAGAAAATGTGGATAATACATATCAAAACAAGAAAGTATAAAAAACACTAAAATTATTTGCAACCGAAAAAAAAAAGAGACACATTAAAAGTTGTAAAAGAACTAAAAAAAACAAAATTACAGACAAGGAAAACTGGATAAGAACTTTAAATGGGCATTTTCATAATTTTATTTTTACTGTCAAGCCCATTAACCGGACAGGGACAAAGTGCTTGAATTTGAAACTTCAAGTCGGGATTTTGTTGCAAATGAATGCCTAAAGTATAGGGTAGTAGTATGTAATTTACCTTTTTTCAATAAAAATAATAGGGCGGTAAGTCGGTTCAGGTTAGGTCGGGTTGAAGCCAATTCTAACTTAACTCTAAGTTCTAAACCCCCAACCATAATCCTAACTCAATCCGGTCTTCAACCTGACCTATCCAATCCTAACCCTAACCCTAACTAAATTCCTTCAACCCTAATCCAACCCAACCCAAAGTCAACTTCGGGTTGGGCCCAACCCAACTTCTTCCCATCCCTTAAAATCTCATAAAACTTCTTACTCTCATATCTTAACTCAACTTTCACTACATATATAAATCATATGTTTCATTAGTATTTGTTTGTGTTAACATTTTTATTGGTTCTTTTAGTATAAAAATTAGAAAAAAAA